ACACTCGCGCTTCTATTGGCCACATCTTTATACGTGATTGGTTAGCTGGCCGCCCCTTAGCCTATCAGAGCAGACTGGGCTCTGGTTTCAGACAGAGGGTGAAAAGAGGTGCTGCAGCACAGGCAGTATGAGAAAAATAAAGAGCATTTTGAACATTAAAGCATGGAAACATGTCCCAGTAGAGGAACAAAATACATATATGAACCTGAAGATGTGCATAATAGGGCCCCTTTACATCTACTAATTGTAATAAGGTGAAGAAATATCTCTGCAAAAAGTAAAACCCTGACCGTCATTGATTTAAAAAGAAACCTATTGTAGGATAATACAGGGAAGCACATGTAAGGCAGTAAAGTGCTGTCGTTCTCATGTTCAGGCTACACACAGACTGCTCTGGGTTAGTATTTCTAATGTTTGTGGTTCACGTTCAGCTGGCAGAGGGAGTCTGGGCCAGCGCCAGTAATCCTGTGTGGAGGGACTGTTCATCCCTAAAATCCCAGATTATAACAAAAAAACACGCTGGTGCTTATTTATATATTTATATATATATATATATATATATATATATATATATTTATATATATATATATATATATATATATATTTATATATATATATATATATATATATATATATATATTTATATATATATATATATATATATATATATATATATATATATATATATATATATATATATATATATCTGCAAAATGATTTCCATAAAAACAATTTGTAGGGATTTATTATGAGGGAGAGAGACTCACCCGAAGGGATCCAGATCTGCTCCTCCAACGGAGAACGGAGGGACCATGGGGTCCCGCCTGGAAAATGCATTCGATTATTAATGAAGCACAATATCTGCTGTCAATTGTGGGCAACATCTTCTTGGAGTAAACAAGAATTAAGTGCACTTCAATAGGGTTTTAAATATTTAATATGTCCCTAGATGTTCAGATAAGATGTTAATCAAACGGCATCTGATTTCAGATCACATTGGAGTGTAGTGATATATGTATGTAAATATATGTAGTGGCACCCCAGCCACAATCTGTTCTGTCTGCTGCCGTCTGGCAGGCGGTACCGCAACATCCGGACCAAAACCACCAGACTCAGGGACAGTTTCATCTCACAGGCCAGAAGACTGTTAAACACCTGAACTTTGAAACAACATCATAACATTCATCTGGCTGCTACTTAGGAATTATTTATCTAATATATCATATTCCAATCACTTGCACTATTTCACCATTTCACTTTTTTTCCTTTTGTATTTACTATTTACTTGAACTATTTGTTTCTATTTATCTGTTTTATTGTGTTGCACTGTTGGAGGAGCCTGTGACCTAAGATTTTCATCGTCATAACTACACTGTAGCTATGCACGCATGACCAATAAAAGCCTTGAACCTTGATATGGGAGAGGTGAACTAACAACTATTTATATTATCGATTAATCTGCCAATTATTCTCTCAATTAATCAATAGTATCAAATAAATAAAATGTCAGAAAAATGGTGAAAAATCTCTCCTCTCCTCTCCTCCCCCTCCTCGCTGCCTGCTTCCAACACGTTCTGCTCTCCGCAGTCCTGACTCAGTTTTTGCTTTCTCATTCATTATTCCTTTTCTCTCTTCATCTTTGCTCTATGTTTCTACCCATTATATCTCTTTTGTCATTTTCTCTCCCTTATTTTGTATTTTCTCTCTCAGATTTTTTTCTACTCCATCTGTCTTTGTTTTGATCTCATCCTTATCTCCCCCCCCTCTCCTCCTCCCTCTCCCTCTGGAGATGAGGAGGCGACAGCAGCGAGGTCGATAAAGTGCTGACATCACCTCGCATCTCATCTGATCGGGTCACGGCTAAGAGGGGGGGGGGGGGCAGAGTGGTTGGACCCAGACAAACAGACAGACAGGCATACAAACAGACACACACACACACACAGCCCAAGCTCTGCCCTGATTTACTCTCTGCAGTTGAAGCCTCTGCGTCGAGACTTTCTACAAAGTGGGCGTGTGTGTGTGTGTGTGTGTGTGTGTGTGTGTGTGTGTGTGTGTGTGTGTGTGTGTGTGTGTGTGTGTGTGTGACTTGGAAACTGGCTTGTGTGTGTATAACCTAACCCAACACACACACACAAGCCAGTTTCAAAGTCAAGTCCTTCATGGGTTTGTGGTATTCTTGTTTTGATGCACTCTTTCACACAGGACATTTTAAGGGAGAATACACTTTACTTTCACTAGTGTAACCCCTAGATTCCACCGGGTCCGTCTGCGGCGCGTTACGGGCGCGTTACGGCTGCGCCGCGGTGCTCACGGCGATCGCGGCCACTCTAGTCAATGGGTGCTATTCCACCACACGCGGCGCGTTACGGCTCAGACGCGTCCCAGAAGCGTCCCAGAAGCGTCCCAGAAGCGGCTCGGCGCAGGGCTCCTCTAAAATTAGGATCGAATCCTATTTTTGTCGCGGCGCAGCCGTAACGTAAGGTCGGGCAGGCAGGAAGTGGAACCTTCAGAGCATATATAGCATATATATATATAGATATATACACACACACAAACTAATTTTGCAGACCCTATCCCTCCGTAGTCTTTCAAGTAGGAGGAGAAATGCCAGCGTTCTCCTCCGGTTTACAGGCACTGTGTAAATTATATATATAGAATAATTATGATGATGAATGCATTTTTTTACCACTAAAATACAGCAACACATCTTTGATTCATGTCGTTTATAACTGGAATATTACAGTTATTATTAACTTTGTCTGTACAAAGTAGCCTGTCCAGGAAATATGCCCAAATCAACAAAAACTGCGAGCCGGCAGGCAAGACGCTCCGCTTCTGAAATGCTTCTGAAACGCGCCTGGTAGGGTATGACGCCGGAGGAGGCCGGACCAAAACCGCAACGCGGCGCAGACGGACCCGGTGGAATCTAGGGGTTAGGACTTTGAAGAGAATTCTGTTTGCAAATTTGATTCAAAATTCAAAAAATGTAGAGAGCAAATTAGGGATTTCTGAATGTGTGATAGAGTGCGTCAAAACGAATACCACAGACGGGGAAGATTGTGTTTGTGTGTTGAAATGGTCATACTGGAGATAGGAGGAGTACAATATATTTTGGGCAATGTTTCAGCTAATTTGTTGATAGACAAATATTTACTAAATATATATGATTTGGTAAACTGCAGGATAGCTGAAAATAGTAACAGAGAGACCCTCCAACTAAGACTGACTGCATAGATGTTGTGAGTATTAGACAGTGACTTTCTCTCTAAATCTATGGGTTGACACATTTTAGCAATAACTGGGATTAATATAAATCTGCACAAGTATGGACATTTCACCCTGGAAAGTAACACTATTATTATACTTTAATTAAAACATATATACCTTAAAGTAATATAATCTTGACTATTAGATTATATGTACAGTAGTCCCCTAAAAGATGAAAAATGACAGTTAGGAAAGAAACAAGCTAAGTGCTACCTGAGGCCTGTGCTACGAATCCAGTTCAACATACCCTGGATATGTTTGAGTTACCCGGCTTACCTAATCCAAAACAAACGCGCTCTCGCTAAGCGGCCCTACGACGCTGGTTATCAACTCGGTAACTCAAGCCAGGGTTTCTCTGTCCGGCTGAGTGCGCGTTCACATGAAAGGGGCGGGGTTAGCAACATTTGACCAATCACAAACATGGAGAAGCGTACTGACAGCGCAGCATCATACTTCCTGAATGAAAAGTAAACTATAATATGATGTTTAAAGTTTAACTTCTTCATATGTCTAATATGAAGAAGTTAAACTTTAAACATCCATGACTTAAACACTTTATCCAGGATAAAAGCCACATAGCTGCACCTGCAAGGTGAATACAGCTGGTAAAAGAAAAAAAAATTGAATGCGTACATTAACTGGTTTATGAAATCACTGCCCCGTCCAAGACACGAGTGGATCTGACTTTAATTACATTTGACTCGAGTGTTTCATCAACTTAATGTGTTGCTTAAAATAATACTTGTGACACTGTGAGTGTTGCACGGCCAGATACGGCTCAAGAAGCTGACTCAGATAAGGAAATATATGATACATTATGATGTGATATGATATGAATGATAATGGGACACATCGACGTCTGCACTCACAGTGCCGCGGACTGTACTTAATGTTACTCTGATCCGGTTACTTATGTTGTGGCAGATATTTAAGTAAGCTTTCTTAACGCTAATATTATAATAGTCAGATTGCTCTGAAGATGGGAGGGGATATTCTATTCATTTTCACGTTCACACAGTCAGTTGATTTTTGCCGGCCGTCTTTCCTGCAACGGCAGTTTTTCTGTATTTCCTCTATCCTGTAATATGACTTGATAGCTTTAAACTCCGCACACTGAGCTCTGATTGGTCAGCAGGCGGTGCTTTCACTGAGTTGATCTCTTATCCTGGAACCAAACCTGCTCCGGAGCAGGTTTGGTTCCAGGATAAGTTACCATGGAGATCTAGCCCGGTAAGAAGAGAACCAGCGTAGTAGGACCAGAAACCCAGAGTTTACCCTGAAGTTAGCTCGCTAAGCGAAAATCCGGCTTCGTAGTACAGGCCTCTGGTGGAGGATGTACGTGTGTAATGCAGATTTGGAATCAAATTACTCAAATTTGCTATTTTGGAATAGGTGAGCCAGAAAATGCCTAAATCCAGATCTTCGGTTTGCATCTTTGATTTGCATCTGTGGTTAAAATGCAAATCATTCAATCTAAAACAAACATTTTAAAATGTGACACTATTGATATATAGTATAAAAATATATCAGTATATTTTGGACTGTTGTAGCTTATATAAAGACATTTTATCAGACATTAACTCAAAAGAATACTTCCTATGTATGGATTTGAAGAGGCAGCCTCCTGTGTTAACGCACCAGTGTGGGGGGGGTCCCTGTCGGGGCTGTCTGATGGGGATGCGGAGGGGGTCGCTGTCCTCTCTTCTTCTCCGCTCGTCCTCCTCCTCCCTCCGACTCGTCCTCTGTCCTGGCGCTCGCCCCTGAGCGGGCAGCAGCTGAGTCTTCACCTTCTCTGACAGACTGTCTGTGTCCTTGAACACACTGCACAGAACAAAGTGATGTATGTTAATTATTCACAATAAAGGGATGTTTGTACATTGTTATTGTTTGTTAGATCTACGGCAAAGGTAAACTTGGTTCTCGTGATGGTTGACTATGGAGCATTCTGATGTGGAAACAATTAAACTGACAGCACTTGGGCAAGAAAAATAACTAATGGGAATTATTGAGGAAGATTACGTTTTATAACTTCTTTTTTTAGGGTCGTGTAAACTGTCTCGAAATTTTGGAGCTAAATAAACCGAATAAATTCTAAGATAACTGTGTAGAAATGTTAAAATCCACTCATTCTTTACCACACTCTCCATTTGTAAAACATAGGGCCTGAGCTGAAGAGCTTGGATAAAGGACATTTGATCTACTACAGTATTTTAATGATGGATTTGTTACCTTATTCTACAAGATGATACTAAAGAAACAACATGGATTCATTGAGAGATAGCGCCATCTGCTGCCCAGTCATGATTTACGTTTTCTATTGTTCTCGGTAGTGATAAGGAATTGAATTGAATTGAAGTCAGTTTGCATTTTTTAAACCGGAACTATTGTTTCAGTTTTTATTAAAATGCAACATTTATTTATTTCAGTTTTCTGTATTTTCTCTGCTTATATCAGTTTGAGTTTACAATAATAACCCTGGTATGAAAGGATTATGTCAAAGCAGATGTGTATTTCAGTGGTTGGGTGTTATTTATGGGATCTATCTACAGAACGATTTAAAGGTTTGTATAAATAAAACAAAGATAATAAGAATTACGCTAAATAAAGTGTCAGGTATTATGTTAAATGAATGGTCATGGCTTTGATTCTTCTTTTAACTATTTGTTGTTAAGTACCTTTACTTACTGTAACTGTAGTTAACGATGAACTGTTATTAACAATATTGGTATTGTTTATTTATCTTTCAAAATGTCAATACAATTGTTATTTTAATGTCAATTGCTCTTTTTGTATTTCGTTCTGGTTTGTTCATAATCATGTGTGGAACAAATAATACAAGCATATTAAAACATTTGATTGGTCATGTCAAGCTCTTCATCACTGGCGACCAAATGCTGTTTTTTTTTTTTTTTTTTTTTTTTTTTTATAAATATGATTTACATAAGTCAATAAAACAACTTAAAAAAATAAACTGACCACCAACCTGTCAAATGTGTGCAGCTGGTCGGCCTCCACGTGATCGCTGATGTTCACCGTCAAGTCTGACACCTGCTGTGTGCCGGAGTTCTACACACACCAACACACACATCAGGAAAAAGACAGAAAGATACACACAATTACCCAAGTGCATACACTTGTTTCGCAAAATAATTGTTTAATGGCACATAAATCAAAGCTGACCAAAATAATATATATATATATTTCCTATGGGGCATGTACGGAGGAGCAGGGCCCTTCACTTGCAGAAATCTTCATAATCTATATTATCAGTATAAAAATGTTGGTGAATGTGAATAGAGAAAGAAAATGTAGAAGAACCCAAATCCTTTCTCTTTCAATTTATCTCAAATTAATTTACAAAAAAGTCCCTATTTTTTTTTAGCATTCAATACTTTGAAGAGTCTGGGGACTTTATGTTCTTCTCCACGTTGGCAATGGCCAATTTATGTTTTTGTAGTTTCATGTAGATAACAAAGAATTTGTAGATTTGCACACTTTTTTGGTGGTAATGTTAATGATGAGGGATCATTACCTCTTATGCTGCTTTGTCTCAGCATTCAATCATTTGTTTTCTGTCTTTAAATTAAACACCATATCATTTTCTTTCCAACACATTTTAAAGTTGGTGAAATGTGCATTCCCGTGTATGTTAGTCGGCTGTTCCTACAGGGTTCTTACACCTTTTCCAAAGTCAAATTCAAGCACTTTTCAAGCATTTTCAAGGTGCATTTTCAAGCTTTTCAAGCTTTTCAAGCATCTTACAGCTGTTGTAAATTACATATTTATATACACATACTTATACTCAAATGATTATTTCCCTACCTCACATTAAATCAGATGTTCTTTATGCTATAAACAACCAAATGTGTGTTTCATAATAGCATTCTACATGAGGATGAAAAATGTTAGAAAAGAAAACTAAGTTTAATATTTCAAAATGAGTGACCCATCTGTACGTAGACTGGGCATCCCATATAACCTGGCTGAGCCAATATAAAACAATCAGCCAAATAACTTTTCAATATATTATTGATTACTATTTTTGAGGTACTTTTAGGTTGGCAGTAAACACAAGTCAGAGGTAACTGGTGTACTTTTCCTCCACTACATGTATTTAATACCTTTAGTTACTTTACAGATGTGGATGAATGATGTGAAATATAATCAAGTGTTAAATCAGACTTTAGTTCCACCTGGAGTAAATTCACAAGCTACTCTGTAGTATACAAAGTCATTCAAACTAGCTGCAACTTTACCAGCTTTGAGAACACTTTCATGATCAATCATTATAAAACATATCATATACAATTATTAGGGATGCTCCGATCGCCAATTTTGGGGCCGATCGCCGGAATCAGTATCGGCCAATACCGATATTGCTCTCTTTTCCTCTCTCCCCCTCTCTCTCTCTCCTGACAGCCCGTCAGTATCTCCTGCAGCTCACTGATCCAGTAATGAGCGACCCGACAGTGAAGAATAAATATATTTATAACTAGTTTAGCTTGTTCCAGAGGTAGATAAAATGGCTAAGTGTGTTAGGTCTAACTCTTAATGTGTGTTCTGCTCCGCTCACCGGTCCGTCACAGCGGGTGGAGCTGCAGGATTTCTGCTTCACACACACGTTGCATACCGCTATTTTATTGTCATTTTCGGACACTTAAAATACTGCCAGACTAGTGAAGCCATTTTGGCGAGCTTGTTTTGCCGCGCACAGAGAAAAGTGTCATGTATTTTACATGCAACGATAGCCTAATCTAAAATGTTCTACTACGGCGTACCTTTCGTGTGGTGTGTGGCTCGTCAGCGCAGACTCTCGCATCGTTATTGTTGCACACTTTGCAGGAGGCTACTCTTGGGCTTCGCTTGACCCTCGTCTTAGCCATGGCTTGTATTTGTCTTCTGCTAGCCAACGCTCGTTGAAACGGCAACCTCCTGGCATACTGTCATCTATCACTCTCATCAGAATGCCCAGGTCACACACGTAACAAACACACTTGCCGGTCACGCGCATTGCGCGGGAAGGCCGGAGCGGAGCTGTTTTATGTAAAAGCGAAGCAATTAAGCGCGCTCCGACTTCTTTATTTTCTTTTAATCTAAAAAGCGAAGTAAAGCATTTACAATTTCAAGCACTTTTCAAACTTTTAAAACACCTCGTACAATTTCAAGCATTTTCAAGGATTTCCAGCACCCGTACGCACCCTGTTCCTACCATCAAGTTGAAGATCAAGGTGGAGTCGACAGAGATGGCTTTAAGCAGCAACTGTGTCTCACTGTCTTTGGCTTTGTATCGCAGACTGTACAGTTCCTCCCTGTTGCTGTTCCAGTCAGTAGGCAGCAGCTCAGACTTCTTATCACTGCCTTTGGGCTGGAGGAGGGGGAGAGAGAGAAAAACAACAAAACAGGGATAAATAAAGGGGTTTAGAGGACAGTGAGAGCATAATAACAGTCAGGACAAACAGATCAGATGGCTCTAAAAATCAGTGGTCGTGGTAGTAAATACTCAAGAACTGTTCCGAAGTAGAAACTTTAGATGCTTGAATTGTACCTGAGTCTTTCCACTACACTGTATTTAGAGGTCACTTTTTATTCCACTATATACCTCTCACAGCTTTGATTGGTTTTCATCCCCTTCCTGTCGGTTATTACTACTAATATACTATGCGGTTCTGATGTGAGGATTTATAATGTTTGTGAAAAACTGAAGGATAAAGTGTCCTTTATGTGTTGCAAATATAATCATATGTCTTAAATTATGAATTAGAAGATGTTTCAACACAAAGAAACTACAATCATATGATGATCCTGTAATATATGATGCATTTTGTAGAATAAACGACCCTACAAAACATTAAAATGTGTAGATCCTCAAACATCTACAGCAGTAAGATGCAACATACATGCAGCAGTAATACTAATCCTATCATTATAAATCTAACCACTGACAGGGATTTTTTTACTACATAAGGATTATTTGTTAAAATGTAAGGTTTTTAATCCACGGCATTACGTGTATAATACTGAGGTATTACTATTTTTACTGGAGTAAAGGATCTTAGTATAAGTGTAATGTAGTGCTTTCCTGTGACTGGCCCCAGGAGGCACAGTACCAGGTTAGCTAGCTAAAGATGACAGGACAGTTTTTAGAGCTCGTCAAAATATCTCTGTAATAGAACAACTGCTAGCTGATTATGCTTCCAATACAAAGGCTTTTTTAGAAGACCTTCAATGTCTTCACAACGGTATACCTGCCCATTAGATAAACTCAGATATGCTCATTTAGGAAGCTAAAGCTAAACTGTGCAGCTGGGCAAGTTAGCCAATGCAGAAGTCCTTTTAAAAAAGTACTGTTTTATTTCTTTCAGTCAGGCATACATCTTTACCCTCGGTAAAAACACACAGAATGATGTACTTGGACAGTTTAAGAGCCATTCTTCAATTCGGCTTAACGTTATAGGTGATTCACCAAACAGCACGTATTTTGCTTTATATAGTTTAATTTATGTTGGTCCTATAAACCCGTACATATACGATGTTTACAAATGGTCAATGTAGCGTTAAACGGCTGGATTTTGAATGGAGTTTGGTGTAAGCTTGTCTACCGCTGATGGTTAAATGTTAGCTTTAGCATCTATATACAGCCAGTGGTTAACACAATGTTGTATTTTTCAGCTTATGTTAGCTAGTTTAATTTACCTCGTCTCCAGAACCGATGCACCTGTATCCACTCTTTATCATTTCCCAGTGAACGAAGCACACCACGGCGTCCTGTGGACAGCTAATGCTGCCACCGACACAGGAGTATAACACCTCCAAGCCGGCCATGTTTGTCTGAACTAGCAACCAACTATAACAACATCAATGCAGTGTCAACAAAAAATGAAAACGAAAGTCTTCATAGGAGCTTAACGACGTCAAATTCACAGCAACCACTTCCTGTCTAAACCTTTCAATGTAAAAGCACCAGTGAAAATTGTAGGTTTACTACCCATTGCTATTTCAAATTATAGATATTAACCATATACAGTCTACATTTGTTTATTTTGTGGGTACATGAAGGAAAATGGGTACCACTTTACAATAAGACTACCCATATAAAGGGTTTACGAATAGTTTGTAATTCATTTATTAATTAGGTTGTGAACACTTTATAAATCATTAATAAGCTTTTATAAGACATGAGATAAACAGGGCAACTGTGACCGGTTGCTTGCCAAATAGTGAGCCCACATTTATCTGTACTGCTAAGCCTTATATTGGCTACTTAGCTTACTTCATCTCCTTCATCAGCCAGCATCCTTGGTATCTGTTGTTCACTGAGTTGATTCTCGCTAAGTAGCCAATATAATTATAATATAATAATATTTTTAGCTTTTAAGTGACTGCTCTACCGTTAATTAAATGTCACTGAACTTATAATGAGTTTTCTTTTGCACTATTTCTGAAGGCTTGTGTTTTTCTTAAAGCACTTTGAATAGCTCTGTTGTTGACATGTGCCGTATACACTTATTAAAATCTGACATATAAATCTTATCTCTGTTCTCCCTAATGTTTGCTTCTCCATTTATGTCTTATGTTTGTTATTATTATTCCTCTTGTTTTATTTTGCTATACTTTTTCGTTCCTTTGCAAATGTGAGCTTGTTATCAAAAAAGCATGAGGGAAATGAAACGATAGTGATACACAATGATTGTGATATACAAAGAAAAGGTGAATACCTTATTGCAATACTAAGATCAAAATAAATATGTTTCTAATGTATAAAGCATCCAATTGTATAAAGCATCACATTTTAATGATTGAGTTGCAGATGTGTGGTATACTATAATGTAATCTAACTTTTCTCTTTATCATTGTAGGCCTATTTAAAAAAAAATCTTTATATATATCTTTCTACTGATAATACAAAGGAATTCACTGATTTTAGTTCAACATTGCCTTCATAACACAATCATTTCCCAATTTCAGATCAATGAAATAAATATAATTATCTTCAAAAAGAAAAGAAAATATCGGTCTAGAAATTAGTGAAAAAAATGTACCTATACATTATACAATGATGGAAGCAGGTTTAATTTAAAGCCCACTGAATCAACTGTAAATGCCATTTTACTATTGATTCACTTTATATTTATTTGTCATGTGTTTCCCAGAGAATGGATAAAAGATCAACAACATTAGATCAGCTGGTTGGTCCTTGGGCTCAAGCCATTGAAGATGCCTGTGCACTTATGATTGTAAGTATAATGTTACACGTGTGTTCCCTCTGCACAGAACTTACTTTACATTCTGTTATTTTTCATTTCATTATTTATTACTTTATATATATATATATATATATGCCTTGCTCAAGGGCACCACGGCAGGGCCCAGGAGGTGAACTGGGACCTCTCCAAAGTAGCAGTCCGCACTCCATATTTAGGTCTGGTTGGGGACTTGAACCGGCAACCCTACAGCTCACAGTCCAAGCCCCTACTGACTGTGCCACTGCCGGATTTGAGTGAATATGTAGTGTATCATGTTGGTGGTGTTATTTGTTAAAGTTACCCTATTGAGCTCACTTTAAGGTTTCATATATGTATTTAGTGGCTCTACTGTGACATGTTTCCATGCTTTAATGTTCTCATACTGCCTGTGTTGCAGCACCTCTTTTCACCCTCTGCCAAGAGAAGCACGAGTGTGACAACCGCTTTTCCACTACAACCTGTGGGAAAGCGCCATTTGATGTCACCGTTTTGGAAGTAAATAAGGGAGTCCAATGGAGGCGTTTCAGGCAGGGGGGGGGGGGGAGTGTGTGGGAGAGAAACTCCCTCTGGATGGAACACAGGGATTTTAGCCTATGCAGACCTTCAACATGCATTAAACCCTATAACACTCAACGGGAAAGGGAAACCCCCACAAAAGCTTAATAGGGCTCCTTTAAATGTTGCTGTGTTTGTTCTGATTTATTACAGAAGGCCTCTCTGGATGACTCAGTACCTAGACACGCCCTGAATGAACTCATCATGAAGGTGGCCAGCTTTACAGCCACAACGATTCTAAAGATGGAGCGACTGTCCAGGAAACTAGACAAGCAGACAGTTCCTGGAAGCCAAAGCCTACAACAAAATGGCAGCGTTTGACAGACTGAAAAATAAATTAGAAATTAGATGAGGATGTGATAAGCCACTGTTCGAAGCAGTGAAAGTGAAAAGTAGCAGGTCTTAATACTTACTTTTATTTCAGAGTTGCTTGTACTGTAGGCCAGTGGTTCCCAAACGGTGTGCCGCGGCATACTGGTGTGCCGTGAGGCAATTAAGTCCGGGTGTGCCGTGGGATTTTGTGACAACCATACGTTATTATTGCAATATACAACTACACAAAAAAAAAAAAAATTTTATTTACTATATCAGTACTTTGTATGCACTCATTTCATAATACAGAGGCAAACTCTATACCTAAAAACAATTATTTAAAAAAAAATCCTCACAGAACCCCATATTTCGCTGTTAACGCAGTTGCACAGGTGGGAATTATAAGACCGTGACACATCGAAGGCTGAAGGACAACATTAAAACAGAGAAACACGCAAGAGGGAAAATGGAGCGGTTTCTCGTGCGGAGCAAACCACCAACCACCAGTGCAGAGACTGCCGACAACCCACCACCGAAAGAAAAGAGGAAAAAAACTGTCAGCAGACAGTATCATGAAAGTTACCTGTTTTATGGCACTGCAGGCGAGCGGCAGATTTTCCCTACAAATAGACGAATCTACTGACATAAGTGGGGCTGCCCAACTTCTGGCAAACGTCAGATATGTTGATGCTGACTCTATCAAAGAGACGTTTTTCTTCTGCAAAGAAATGGAAAGCCATACTACGGGAGAAGATGGTGAATTACATCAAATCAAGGCCCCTGAAATCTCGCCTCTTCTCCCAGCCGACCACCAAAGCCTGATCCTCCACACAGAGGTACGTTGGCTGTCACGGGGGAAAGTCCTATCCCGTCTTTATGAGCTTCGGGAAGAGCTTTTGGAGTTTTCACGTGAACACGCTGTCCCACATAAAGACAAGCTCGCGGATGAGAGGTGGTGCGCCAGGCTGGCTTACCTCGCAGACATATTTGGGCATCTCAACGAGTTAAACGAGTTAAACGCCAAGCTTCAGGGCCGGAATGAAAACATTTTATCATCCACAGACAAGATTCGGTTCTCTACTCTGGTTTACATGAAGAACAACAGGAGGTCACGGCTCTCTGTTGAACAGGACTTGCGAGTGGCCCTCTCCTCAGTGCCACCAAGGATTAAAAAAATCTGCGCGCCCCGACAGGCACATGTATCTCACTAATTTGTAAGTCGGCAAAATATTTACAATAGCACATGTTTCAATGCTGATTGCTGAAATGTTACATTTATAATTTGTAGTTCAGGCCCATGGACAGTGCAGCTTCCTTGCATTGACAGTTCTCTGTGCTGAATTTCTGCTGAGTCTTTGCCTCATTTTTTATTTTGTGACCTGTCTGGTTTAAATGAGTGTGTTGCTGCTTTGATGAAGCCTAATTTGATAAAGTTTCAAATTAATTTCTGAAATATTTCGTTAATAAATATTTCATGAGTAATATAGTTGTCTTTGTCACATTTTATTTGGCATTAGTAAATAATTATGCACATTTACAGATATTTTACATGATATGAGTGATAACACGTGTTATAAGGGCTATTTTGCACAATAGGTGTGCCTTGAGATTTGTACTTGTCCTTTGGTGTGCCTTGGGCACAAAAAGTTTGGGAACCACTGCTGTAGGCTACTGTATTTTTCATTTGTATGTGTCTTATTTAGCAAGTAAAGTTTCTATAAAAACACTACATCTTTCTTGATTGATTATGTACATCTAGAGGTTGAAGACATTTCTTTACATAGCCTATTTGTTATTCATAATCAGTCATAAACATGTTCCAGCAATGCACATAACATTACAAGCATCTTCAAAATCTTTCACAAGAGAAAAAAAATGATGTCAGAAGAGATTTAGGGAGCAGCAGGAAGCCGTGACCTCCCACAGCTCCTGTGATCTGAGGGTGTGCATCAAGAAGGTCATGACAACAGCTGGATTTGTGTATATTTCATATATATTTAGGTCACATTTTCTTTAAGTACAAATTCATTATTTGGTCCATGTAAATAAAAGAGGGTAGGCTCAATATCACAAATACCTCGCTGTAAAATACAGTTCAATTACAGAACAATGGTCAGCCTAAAAAATAATCATTTGTTAGGTCCATACCAGTGGCGTCGCCTGGCCTGGGCATCCGGGGCTTTAGCCCCGAATGTTTTTTCTGTAGCCCCGGACAATTCTCCCTCAATAATATAATACATTAACCGTGCTTTACGTGAACCTCATCATGACACAAGAGAGGACGGCAGCACTGTAATTTCCCGTGTTCAGTGAATGCAACAGAGGCATGACACCAGACCAATCAGAGAGTTGCATGGAAATAAACGTGTGCTTGTGTCATTCAAGCTCGGCTCTGTGTGTGTGTGTGGCAATAGTGCATTTAGTGTGATAGAGAGAGAGAGAGGGAGACAGGGGGAAAGAGGGACCGGTGTCAGCATGGACCGTGTTGTTAGCATCTGGTTAGCTAGCTGCACTAACGGACATAAGGAGCTGTTTGTTCCACAACAAGCTGGAGGAGAGTCCTCTCCTCTCAGACTGAGAGACTCAGGTGAGCTAAAGGACTCTGAGTGTTTAGATAGTTAACTTTAGTCTAAGTTATCTCAGTGGGTCTCAAACGGTTTGGTCACAAATTATTCAAAAGATTATTTCCGTGGCACACCTTCATATGATCATTATAGTTATTAAAAAAAAAGAGAATAAAGGAAAAACAGTTATGAAATACTATATGGCAGTAAAACAAGAATAGAGTTTAAAAGGGGAGTGATTAGTAAAATATCCATAAAGAAAAAGTACATCTGTTTACAGTTCTGCTTCATATGGGTGTTGAGAGATGTATCCATAGATCTCTTCATTTTGCTCTCAAAGTGCACCAGATTGATGCATTTAACTTCAATATTTAAAAAAAAAATCTTCCCGGGGGAGCATCCCCCCGGACCCCCCTAGAGGAGGTGAGCCCCCCACTCATAAAAAATACCACTTTACCCCTGCCATAGCCTTCATTGTAACAGTCGCGGGTGTACTGTGTGTGTGCGTGTGGGGAGTGTTGCAGTAAAAAATGCCACTGTAGTGCCGCCGCCACTGTGGAAGCCCCGAATGTTTTCAGGTCCAGGCGAGGCCCCTGGTCCATACCTCCCACCGGGGCCTACAATTTACCGGACGTCACATACAAAATGACTGCTTGTGTGACATTTGGCACCTTGAGAATTAGAAAACTCAAAAGTGACAGATTTAACAAGTCTGTGGAGGTTAAGGGGTTCAAAGTATCTCGGGATCTTGTTCTCGAGTGAGTGGACCATGTAGCATTTATCGCACCGTGGTGACGAAGAGAGAGCGGAGTCAGAAGACAAAGCTCTCTATTCACAATCCATCTTCGTTCCTCCTGTCACCTATGGTCATAAAGGGGGGGTCATGACCGCCTCCCTGGGGCCAGGCTCCAGGCACGTCCAGCTGGGGGGAGACCGAGGGACTGACCCAAGACCAGGTGGAGGGATTATACCTCCATGCTCCCCAGTCAGAGCTGGGTGATTTACAGTAAGGTGTTCCAGATGTACTGGGAAGTGGGAGTATCTGAGTTCCCGGTCTGAAATGTCAACTGGAACGCCCCCTGAGGTGGGACTCCCTACTTGGACACTCGGAGATCCCCATACCCGAGATCATCATTTAAGATGGAGTCCCTGTTATATGAACATTAAGAGAACACTTTGTTAATTAACATTTGTAGCTCTTCTGTATTATTAGTGTCACATTAAATCAACTGAATAGGTACTGCTCATCTTCTATCTGTGGATATGTTGCTACGATTTACTTATTCACAAAATACAAAACAAAGCGGATCAACCAGAATAGCTAACAATGGCTAACCCGGGACTGCTAAAGCTGTAAACACGGGAAACAATTTTCCTGTGGTCATCCCTCTTCTTCCGACTTGTGCTACAGGGACCCAGTCAACTCGGATGTGACGTCACTCCCAGTTCTGACCTCCGACTGCCAAAGGAAATGGAACACAGCATTAGCCAGGGAAAGGGAAGTGTGGGAGCCTCTGCTGGAACTGCTTCCTCCATGACCTGACTCTATAAGATGAGGATTGAGGTTGAAGCTGTGATAAATTAGACATGGCACTCTCACCCTCCTCTGATAAACTGGGTTATGTGTTGCTGCAGTGAGTTTGTTAATTAAGAAATGAATACTGAATACTATTAAAGTGATTTCAAACCATCAGCTGCATATTGGAGCTATCAAATCCTGTCTGTGTGTGAGTGGATATCAGTGTGGATAATCATGTGTGCTTCTTGTCCTGCTCTACTGGGACCAGAGCAGGTCTGCGGCTTTGGGAAGACCCCCAGGGGCCTGCGGAGGCGTCAGAAGTCAGAAGCCAGCTCGGACTCTTTCGTTTTCAGTCTGCAGGTGTTTGTGAGTGACAATGGAGGACTTTACAACACAAATGCTCGGTACATCTTTTTACTGTCTGTGGGTTGCTGTCTTAGCAGAGCTGGTAGTAAAGACCATCTGGACGGTGAGGATGAAGACTTCCACATGCTGACAGACCTCAGACCGGCCATCTGCTCCCTGTTTCCCTCCTGTCAGAACACGTGTTCACTCATTCACTTCAGTCTGTGTGTGTGTGCCAGTGCTCTGATGGGGAAGACCTCACACAGGAAGTGTGTTCTTTACTGGAACTCCTTCAGGTCCACAAGGCGATGTGTTCAGCTGGACAACAAACAGCTCGGAAATACTTCCCAGGGAAGCATCTCTGCTGATCCTGACACAGAATTCTAAGCATTAATAAAGACATGATCTCTGAACAGCAGAGACTTTCATCATGAAACGGACTCACCTGCAGCGCTCTGCTTCTCTCTAGTGGAGAAAGACAATACTGATGCATTATGACACTGGAACTATACAAAATGTGATTTAAAATAATGCCAAGGAACAGAGACAAATAAATAAACGGCATGTGAAGAAAATAATTGTATATTATGTGGTTTTAGTTTAAATGTGAATAATTTAGAAGGGATTTTTTGTATTTTTTTCTATGCCCCCCTTGTTTGAATAGGTTGCACAAACCTGTTTGTGTTTATGTTCTTACTGTATGTTATAGCATGTTTGAAGGTCAGTGAGGCCTGCCTAGGTATAAAGCTCACGGCTCGCCACTGGTAAAGGTAGTGCTTTTTCTGGCAAATGCTCACAAAGAGTGCTTCTATTGAGATCAGCAAACAACCAGCATCTGCAGGACTGGCTGATGCACTTCCTAAATTAAAGATAAAAAGAAGAAAACAAGTTTCAAACACAATTAATGTCTGTTATTTGCACATCGCACATTAACAGGCACACTAAAAGGATAAAGTTTCATTTGGACAGCATTATTTCGTTTTTACGAACCGACTCCATCTAAAAAAATAACCATTTTGCTGCTTGAAAATATCAGAGTTACAAGCTGAGCATGCATGAATGATGCAAAAATTGAGCACTTGGTATTGGCTCGCATCAGCACATTGAGCTTGGACTCTTGCTAACTTAAAAAGGTATTGTTCTATTTTGGCAAAAACCAACATCAATCAATCATTATGTTTGAATTGCTTAATAGGTGTACAATAAGTCAAAATACTATTTAAATACTTGAAAACAGTACCAATCCCCACACCATAATTACACATTATTAAAGCTACAGTTATATGCATTACAACGAGACAGTGTATACGAGTAGTAGTACATATCCCGCTTCAATCTCATTAGTATGCATAAAAAAGTGACAGGTCACACCTTCTAAGTCCCGCCCCCTAATTATGTTAATGACCCCCCTTTGATATGCTAATGAGCCCTTTGTTCGAGGTGTTATCGCGTACAGGTGTGACATCCTCCCCGGTACCCCCCCACCCCCCTCAGCCCACCCCCCCTCCCCCTCACATACAGGTGCTACATCCTCTCAGGTAGCCCCCCACCCCGCTCAGCCCCCACCCCTCTCAACCCCCTCCTCCTCCCCCCTCCTGTCCGGTCGGCATGTTCGTTACAGTTTAAATCTTCCGGGGCAGAATTAGAAAAGTGCCGGTTAAAGGTCTTCTATGTTATTTAATGAGCTTTGAAACAAACTGATATGATTCGATATTAAACCAACTAATTATAGTAGATTAATTAACTATTCAAAAACGTGTACAGTAATTTACAATAACACGGGAATAATAAACGGACTGCTCTCCCCCTCCTGACAACACGACAGTATCAAAGTCGCGGGTCCAATAATGAGTGACTCGACAGTAAAACTAAAACATATCTATAAATAGTTTAGGTAGTTTGAGAGGTAAATAAAATAGCTACGTGTGATATCTGAAGAGTGTGTTTTGTTCCGCTCACCGCATGCAGAGATGCATGTCGAATAGTCCGCAGCATCGGATCTCCCTCCGTCAGCAACAGCGGGTATCCCCCCGTCAGATTAGACTTTACTAGCGTTTATGTCCATGCGCAATCAGCCCATACAGGACATCTTTTGTCTGTCACACACTATTCTTGTATGTCACATAAGTGGTGCAGCTGATGCTGTATTGCGCTAAAGGGGATATCATTCTGAGAGATTTCCATCCGCACACACACACACACACACACACACACACACACACACACACACACACACACACACACACACACACACACACACACACACACACACACACACACACACCCCCATACCCGTATTCCCCTCCTACCCCGCCTTTTTTTTAAATAAGAGTTGGGTTAATAACTAAGGAGGCTCTCTTGAAGTGTACGGATGGTGAACTAATGTTTAATTACTATACTAACTATAAGGGCCTCTCTTTGTTGAAAGGAGGGGTAATCTGGTAATAAATGCAACAAAGTCTCTCTGAAGAGGTTGGCAATAAATTAAAGATCTTAATGACCCCATGGCGTTTGTTTTTTTTCTTTATGTTTAATTACATCAAATCCACTAATAAAATAATCCCTATATGAAGTTATATGTGTCATCTTTCCTGAAACTGAAGTGCTGTCCGTTTTACAAACAAGTTATCTTTCTGCTTCTTCACCCCTGAATTTTCCTCCCCCGTCCCTATTACTTCAGCCATCACATCAAGTCAGATCTGTGAAATTAAACACCTCTTCTCAAAGCGTGACTTCCCTATTGGGGGAGTGGGGCAGTAGGGCCTAACCCGATTTGGCCAAATATACTAACATGCAGAACATATGGTATGTTTTGAAAAAAGACTAACCATCTATCCAGTTCAAGCTGTCTTTAAGATGTGACATTGCGCTCTGACTTTTTCCCGTAAAATCGTGACAAACTATTACTTATTAAATTTGACCTCATACTGCTTGGTTGAAAATGATAGATGAGCATTTTACCAACAGATCAACGCGCAATCAACCCATACAGGACATCTCTTTCTACACATTATGTGTTATCACTATAATATCATGTCATTATTTAATGTTGTTTTGTTTGTGTGTGTGTGTGTGTACAACGAAGTCTCTTTGAGAGGAAAATTATAATTTAAAGATCTTATTACCCCCTTATTGTTTAACTACTTCACACAACTATTAAAGAATCCCTATATGAAGTTACATGAGGCTACATTTACTGGTGTGCTTCCCTAGATGATGTAAATAGTCTAAGTGTCATGTTAGGGGGGCATTACGGACCTCAGGAGTCCGCCCTTGGAGGCTTGGAGAGCGGATAAAGAGAGGTGTAGAACTAACAAAAAATAATTAAGTATTTGCAATGCATAAACATAGAAGTTATCACTGTCATATTATGATCACTTAATGTAAGTAAGTTTAAGTAAAACTAACACAAGTCAATATTATTCACCTAGGCATTAGTGGGCTTGAGGGTCTCAGGGAGCGTGGACAAAGTGACTTGTCTCTGTATTTGAGGATTCTCAGTGCAGGCACTAACAGGAAGCTGCTGTGCATTAGTGGAGAGTCCTCTGAAGGCAGCTGTTATTTCATTCACACACTCATCTGTTACCTGCTGACTCCTCATAGTAAGTCTAGCCAAGTCAGCTGTTAAGTTGTCCATACCATCGCTTGATAACTGGTAACTTTTGATTGACAGTCCAGCCATGGCAGCTGCCAACTCGTCCATATAATTCTTAAGAACGTGGTGACAATACTACAAAAAAGTATATATATATTAGGTCAGTTAACCTTGAAGAGCTAAACAGTTCAAGTGGTAAGTAACTAAGTATTTGCAATGAATAAACATAGAAATGATCACTGTCATATTATATAATCACTTAATATGGAGATAAGTCAAACTGACACAGACAGTTTAAACTGCTTGTTAAAACGCTATTGCTTATTGTGTTTTCTCAGCACACTAACATAAATAAGGATGTATAATATAAAAAACTAGAAAACGATATAGTATTTTCAAGTCTTACTTTAGTATGGTAAAATTAAGAATAAGTCACATTAAAGTGTGTCATGATTTTCCGTAAAAAAGTCAAGTATAGTTTGTCAAAAGAATATGAAAAAATCATTTTCTAGAGTAGTATGTTGAAAATCTCAGTGTTTAACTGAACACACCTACATGTGATAACGCCTCGAACAAAGGGGTAATTAGCATACAAAGGGGGGTCACTAGCATCAGTGGGGGAAAGGTGCTACGGGAATGAACTTTGAGGAGGGGGAACTTGTAAGAATTTCCAGCTTTTGAAGACAATTATGTGGTACCCGTCCTTACAGCTAAACAAATCCTAAGCCAGGTATTCAACAGACCACAAGAAGCACAAGAAGCCCCAGAAAGGATTACATTCAGAGCTAATAATGGTGAAACCGAAGAAGAAGCAAAGCAGATTATAATCGTTGCGGGTGAAAGGATAGAGAATTTGCAAGTGATGTTAATGCACTTATCTGATATAAAAAATGCATTCATTTACTTCCAAGAGACCCCTAAACATCTAGTTGGGCAATGTGAATTGAACGATAAACCGATCACTGTAAATGAAACGCGGAGAGAGGCAGCAGTGCAAATCGTTAAGTCTATTACCTTGTACAGTATGCACTACGCCATTAACTTGGTCAAATGTAATATGTCTTTCCGAAGATGTGGCGAATGGTGTGTTTTTCAATTAAACAACCATAACAAATGAAAATGTGTTTTATTTTTGCTTTCATATATAGTAATAGTATTAACTCCTCTGACTAGACTGTACTAAAATAAGACGTTTCACTGTTAAATAAAAATGGAAGTAGAAAATCGAGATAATGATGAGGCTCGTTATGTATCCAGTAACTATGAACAGCAGTTTGAAAATGTTATTTAACCCTTTAACTCTAATTGACAAATCTAAAATAGCCTCTAGCTTATCTATAAATTTGTGATTTTAACACTTATTCACTGACACAAGGCAGATTATGGCTTTTTTCTCTTGCCAAGATACTTTTAGACACACTCTGAGGTATGCAAAACCTTAAAACTAGAAAATGAAGTACATTGTCTGATTAGATTTTTTCGTAAAGACTGTTTCTCTAAAAGGCAAGTTTGTGATTTTTAACACTTATTTACTGACACAAGGCAGATTTTGACTTTTTTCTCTTTTCATGTGTTACCAAGATACTTTTTAGATACACTTTTATGTATGCAACACTTAACAAAGGGGTATAATATGAAGTACTTTGTAAGGGAATGGGGGTTTCTTTAATACCCCTTTTTTTATTTCTAAAAAACACTTGTACAGTTAAATAATGTAGGTTTTTCTCTGATATTCTAGTTATTTTCAGCTACCAAGATACTTTTGTTGATACACTTTTATGTAGGAACATTTGGCAACTGGTAGAATGTCAATTATTTTGTAACAAAAATGTATTTTCTTAAAGACTGTGACTCTAAAAGGGAAGTTGGTGATTTTAACACTTATTCTCTGACACAAGGCAGATTATGGCTTTTTTCTCTTGCCAAGGTACATTGTCTGATTAGATTTTTTCGTAAAGACTGTTTCTCTAAAAGGCAAGTTTGTGATTTTTAACACTTATTTACTGACACAAGGCAGATTTTGACTTTTTTCTCTTTTCATGTGTTACCAAGATACTTTTTAGATACACTTTTATGTATGCAACACTTAACAAAGGGGTATAATATGAAGTACTTTGTAAGGGAATGGGGGTTTCTTTAATACCCCTTTTTTTATTTCTAAAAAACACTTGTACAGTTAAATAATGTAGGTTTTTCTCTGATATTCTAGTTATTTTCAGCTACCAAGATACTTTTGTTGATACACTTTTATGTAGGAACATTTG